CATTGTTCACGAGTCCCGCAGCTCGAGTCCGAGTCGAGTCTGAAGTATTTCGAGGACGAGTCTCAAGTCGAGTCTGAAGTCACTGTGTGTGGGACTTAAGTCGCACTCGAGTCCGAGTCTCAAACTCGAGTCCCCATCTCTGAATGATACAAATTAAACTTTCATATATTTTAGATTCATTGCACACCAACTGAAATATTTCAGGTCTTTTATTGTTTTAATACTGATGATTTTGGCATACAGCTCATGAAAACCCCAAATTCCTGTCTCAAAAAATTTGCATATTTCATCCGACCAATAAAAGAAGTGTTTTAATACAAAAAAAAAAGTCAACCTTCAAATAATTATGTTCAGTTATGCACTCAATAGTTAATACTTGGTCTGGAATCCTTTTGCAGAAATGTCTGCTTCAATGCGGCGTGGCATGGAGGCAATCAGCCTGTGGCACTGCTGAGGTGTTATGGAGGCCCAGGATGCTTCGATCGCGGCCTTAAGCTCATCCAGAGTGTTGGGTCTTGCGTCTCTCAACTTTCTCTTCACAATATCCCACAGATTCTCTATGGGGTTCAGGTCAGGAGAGCTGGCAGGCCAATTGAGCACAGTAATACCATGGTCAGTAAACCATTTACCAGTGGTTTTGGCACTGTGAGCAGGTGCCAGGTCGTGCTGAAAAATGAAATCTTCATCTCCATAAAGCTTTTCAGCAGATGGAAGCATGAAGTGCTCCAAAATCTCCTGATAGCTATCTGCATTGACCCTGCCCTTGATAAAACACAGTGCACCAACACCAGCAGCTGACATGGCACCCCAGACCATCACTGACTGTGGGTACTTGACACTGGACTTCAGGCATTTTGGCATTTCCTTCTCCCCAGTCTTCCTCCAGACTCTGGCACCTTGATTTCCGAATGACATGCAAAACTGAGCAACAGTCGAGTGCTGCTTCTCTGTAGCCCAGGTCAGGCGTTTCTGCCGCTGTTTCTGGTTCAAAAGTGGCTTGACCTGGGGAATACGGCACCTGTAGCCCATTTCCTGCACACGCCTGTGCACGGTGGCTCTGGATGTTTCTACTCCAGACTCAGTCCACTGCTTCCGCAGCTCCCCCAAGCTCTGGAATCGGTCCTTCTCCACAATCTTCCTCAGGTTCCGGTCACCTCTTCTCGTTGTGCAGCGTTTTTTGCCACACTTTTTCCTTCCCACAGACTTCCCACTGAGGTGCCTTGATACAGCACTCTGGGAACAGCCTATTTGTTCAGAAATTTCTTTCTGTCTTACCCTCTTGCTTGAGGGTGTCAATGATGGCCTTCTGGACAGCAGTCAGGTCGGCAGTCTTACCCATGATTGCGGTTTTGAGTAAGGAAACAGGCTGGGAGTTTTTAAAAGCCTCAGGAATCTTTTGCAGGTGTTTAGAGTTAATTAGTTGATTCAGATGATTAGGTTAATAGCTCGTTTAGAGACCCTTTTTATGATATGCTAATTTTTTGAGACAGGAATTTGGGGTTTTCATGAGCTGTATGCCAAAATCATCAGTATTAAAACAATAAAAGACCTGAAATATTTCAGTTGGTGTGCAATGAATCTAAAATATATGAAAGTTTAATTTTTATCATTACATTATGGAAAATAATGAACTTTATCACAATATGCTATTTTTTGAGAAGGACCTGTATAAAGAGGCAAGAACAACGCCTCGTCCACATCACTGGTAATATCTTCCCTTGCCAGACATCGAGGGAAGAAGCGCCTTGAGTGCCTTATCAATCCCTGAATCACACCCACATCAATTTCATCACATGCCTCTTCCATAGCCTGCACAAGAGGCATGTGCACAAAGGGCTGCTGGTCGTATACCTTCCACCGCCATGCCGAAAATAACTCTTCTATAGGGGTTCAGTAATAGTGAGTATGGTGGGAGGTATTGCACGATAAAAGCTCACGTTGTCCCATACTACAACATATCGGTTTCTTTGATGGTCTCCATCATTCATACGCTCTGGTGGTATGAAAATGTTGTGGAGTCTGTCCAGAAATGTGAGAATATGGGCTGTGTTGTATGGTCCAAGGTTGGCATGACGGTGGAGGACACCATGCATATTGGAGATGGCAGCGCACATTGTGATGTTCCCACCACGTTGGCCAGGAACATGTATAATGGCTCTGTGGCCAATGACGTTTCTCCCCTTTCTTCTGGTCTTTGCTAGGTTGAACCCAGTCTCATCTATAAAGATGAACTCATGTGGGATTGCATGAGCATCCATTTCCAGTACTCCCTGAAAACAAAGAACAAAAATCTGTCAATATGGTGTTATCCAGTACACTGGGAAACAATGTTGAGTGTAGTTTACTGCGGTCAATTTTGTACTTACATCCACATATTCTCTCAAACGGCACCTTATAAAGTTGTTTCATTCTGATTTGTTTTCGATTGAGAATGCGAGCCAATGTGGACAGACTGACTCGTTGAATGTTGTTGAATATGGTGTTGTCTTGGATGATGTGGCTTTGAATTTCTCATAAACAGATTTCATTATTTTCTAAAACCAAGTTTACAATGCCAGCTTCCTGCACCCCAGTGAAGATTTGGCCCCTTCCTCCACCATGGTTGCGTCTCTCAGTCCTTTAGAATAAAATAAATATAGGGCTTGGACAATGCAGCCTAAAGATATTTTCCCCCACAGTAGAGTACATTGTACAGGAAACTTGTACAGTTAGGGTATGATATCATCAGCCATTCATGAAGTAAACAGGTGTCACCCAACTGATACACATGGGGTTTACTACATGAAATTTTGGTTACATACCTGTACAAATGCATATAATCTTAGCAATCTGTTAGGCTGTAATGTAGTATAGTAATAAGTGTGTAGAATAGTATGCACGCAAAGTAAGTAAGTAATAAGTAGACGCAGTGCAACAGTAACGTGTCATTCATTCTTCATGCATTCATCTTCTCATATCATATCAAATCAAATCACGTACACATGACAAAACACCAACTTTTGTATATTAAAACTGGCGACATTCTGGCAAGATCCTTGATTAGTTTACTGGGTTTCGTTGCTAGAGAACGACGTTCTTGCCCGCCAGCCAGTACTTGTGACGTCACGTGCAAAGTATGAATAGCACACTGCATGCAGCAACCTTTTGTGGTATATGGATCCACAGAGTCTAAAGTTTTAAGCAAGAGTAAAACTTCAGTAAAAGTTCAACTGATTTCGGTATTTTTATAAGATAATTCTGAATATTATTTTTGGAAGACAATTTCATTTTATTATGCATATTTTAAGCTACCTCAAATAAAACCATAAAAAGTTTAATAACATTCCTTAATATGATTCAAACCAAAATATAATGTGATATAATATATGGCCAATTATAAAATGCTTTACAAAACTCTCAGATGTCACTATGGTTATATTCATAACAATTTATTTATATTAATTCCACATATTCTCAATGCTTTTTACATGGAAGAGGTCTTTGATGATTTTTTTCACCAGGGTCAGACAAACACATTAGCCATCTGAAGGTTTACACAAAATAACAACTGATTATTACACAGTTTTACACTGTAAAAGTTTTTATACTCCAACATCTATTCCATTGACTTTGCAGGGTCATAATCAAGGACAAAATTGTCATGATTGTCGGAAAATACTCAGTTATGTTGTATCCCAGATGGCTGGTTTTAAAGTATTACTTATAAAGCTAAATTAATAACATGGTGCATGGATCAAAAATATTGCTCTGTAGTCTTATACATCTTGCAATAACAGTATTAAATTATCTAATTTTAGCCACTTGTATGGAATATGTAACTTCTTCTGTCAGCAAGTCTTTTTTGTTTGCATGACAAAACAGGAATAATTGCACTGTCCAAGAGATCAACACTCTCAGCCCTTACAAAAAGTACTGGGGTGGTATCAGATGGTAATACAACAGTACTTGGTACTGTACCATGGTACTGTATGATCACCATATTCATGTACTGTAGAATATACAATACATGGTCATCCAAGATACTTCAAAAATACCATGGTACCATGTCCAAAAACATGGTACATTTTTGTAAGAGATGACAAACATACAAACATCTCTTTCCTAGAACTATAAACACACACTTCCTTATTCTCTCACTCTCAAACAGACCTCCCCTCCAAACACACAAACAAACACACACATAAACACTTATTATAGCACATTAGGAATGAGCAGGTGTCTGTATCATTCCGTATTGATGCATTCCATACTCTAGACTATCAATGATAACTATAACCTATATGTCATATATACACTACTCTTTTCCAGCGTCTTATTCTGAATTCTGTCTATATCTATGTATTACACCTTGGGCAGAGTGGGATTTGTCAATGCAAAAACTACACTACACAGTCAAACATTCACACACACTGACAACATCAACAACAACAACAACAGCAACAACAATAATAACATACGTAAAGATTACAATATACCTCTTTAAGTCCAAAGCTTTTCTTCATTATACTTCAAGGGATCAAAGAAATAGTCCAAAAAAGTCATAATATTTTCAGGATCATAAATGGGACTGTGCTCTTCAAATTTTTTGTCCAAACCAAGTGTTTTTCAGTAATTTGTCCAGCTGAAGACCACAAGGTGAAATTCAAAGCTCCCCATTACTTGTGGACAAGCTCTCAGCAGAGATTTGAAAAAGAGCAATACAGCTTCCTAACATCATCAAAGAGAATATGATGTACATTTACTGCTCTTAGCACTGCCTTTAAAAGAAATATTCATCGAACTCTCACCCCACATATTGTACACACATATACACACACACTCACACATATTAGCATTTCTCTGCTTGATATTTAGAAAGCTTGTCACATAACCTCTCTTAAAATTGTGCTTATCTCTGGAAGCAGCAAGACAGCAGGCCGTATTTGCAGGTCAGGATATGTACTTGCAGTACCTATTCTGACCACTAGAGTAAGACAAAAAGCTGGTGGAGAATGATGTTAGTCAAAATTTAGATCTTAGGCTTTTCTCAGAGATGCTCAATTGTTGACTTAGACACACGTTAGAATGGAAGAGCTTAATTTGCCCTATCGAGATTCCAATACTGCTGAGGCATCAAAGTTGGTTTCGGTTGTCCACACTGAAAAAAAATGAAGCTTGAGTGTTTCACACTTCCTAAGGAATCTAATATATTTTTTCATTTTTAATCTAACATGGCATCCAACTGGTCCGCAAGGTCATCAAACATGCTGCCAATGTCATCGAGAATGTTAACTGTGCTCTTATTGTCCACAATGGAGCTGAAAAGGAAAATAAACAGAAAGTAGAAGAAAAAGAATGGTGAGTTTCAACAAGTAACATCATCATCATGCAATGAAGAGACTGCTAAGTGCCAAGGAGCAAGAACACAATTTGTTTTAGTGTCTAGAAACATCTACTTTTATACCTGTCATCCTTCTTAATCTTCTCCTCCACTACCTCCAGAGCAGCAGCCAGGGACGCACTGGTCTCCTCCAGTTTGAGTTGCACCATGTTCCCTGAACCAGCTATCAATAACCCTTGGCTTTCCACCTCTGTTTTTCCAACTCCATCTTGTGGTTCACCCTCTACTTGTGTCTGTCTGGCTACGCCTACCTTCCTTCTTCTCATTACCACCGGTTCTGCTCCCTCCCCTGTCTCTTTGAAATGACTCCCTGCTGAGGAACCTGAAATCAGGCCTTGTTCACCTTGAAAGGTTGGATCAACCTGGATCAGACCTGTCCTTTCCATTCTAGCAATTCCGACTTCCTCTACTCGTTCTTGCTTCCTCACTTCATCTTCCTCTCTCCGTTTTTCTACTTCTCTAAGCCTCTTTTGCATGTCCACTCCAGGGATCTCCACTTCCAGAGGGCTTGGGATGTCCACTGAGAGACCAGCCATGGAGGACCTCGGGGGCTTTACTGGAGCTGAACCTGGTGTAGAGGGTGTTTGTGGGGTTTGGGGTGTCTGGGGTGTCTGTGGGCTCTGAGCTGGAGAAGTTGCTGGACGTGGAGACAACATGCTTGAGACCTCCATTGGTTTTGGGGTGACCGGACTCAAAGTCTGTGGTAGATGTTCCAGTTGTTCAATTGAAGCAGGGCTGAAGGAGGCACTGGATGGGCTGAGAACATCAGCCTGAGGAGAGCTGGGAGTTCCAGTGGTATGGATTGGCTTGATTTTTACAGGTTTGGGCAATGTAGGAGGTGGACTTGGCTTGGGAGATACTGGAGGGGGGATTTTCTTAATCTCCACTATAAAGAGACAAAGAAACCATGTAATGTACAACTTACTTAAATCCATTCAGAAAATATATTTTACTACATCAACTAGATATCAGGAAGGTCTCTGTTGATATCAAGCTAAGCAGAGGACCTGGTTTCCTTGAACTGCTGTCTAAAAATACCCATGAATTTCATGCATGCATGAATTTCTATGTTGGCTTGCTAGGCTGATTTATGCTTGTTAGCCAGTTTGCAGGACAAATGGTGAGATAATATGAGGAACACAATGACCTCATAGATAACATTCTTACCTGGGCTATGTTGACCTTCTGGTCCAGGTAATGGAACCCTCCTCGAAGGAGTTGGGGGATCGAATTTGCGAAGTGCCATTGCTGGTTTAGGTGAAACTGGGGGTTTCAGTATTTGTCTGGGAAGAGAGCCAAAGCTGGCGTGTTGCAGTTCTTCCTCCCTACCGCCATCTCCAATGCAAGCTTCTGATACAGGTCTTCTCCGAAAGTTCTCTAGCCCATCTCCATCAGTGCCGTTACTCTGTGGTGGAGCCAATGCTTTGGGCCTTCGCTTTATCGTACTCGTTTCTGTCAGGTTAAAATGTTCACTATCTGAATAATGTGGTGGTCGTGGTCTTCTCAAAGTTGCAGTGGCATCCATCCGTGACCACTCCTCTTTTGGCAGAGAAGAAACAACTCCTTCCAGATGAGTGATCATGGAACGTGGACGTGGCTCAGGAGCCTGTTTAATTGGATGGGATTCACAAGGTGCTGGTCCATGATGTGCGAGGTCCTGCATGGCTCGTCTCATCTCAGCCTCTTGTACATCATTGTCAGGCTGCTTTTGAGAGTCGTAAAATTCACTGATTGTGCGGCGGCGACTATCTGCATCGGAATTCAGAACTTCTCGGTTCTGCCGAAGGAGGTTTTGGCTTGCCTGAAGAACAGGTAAAACATCAAAACTCAGTTAGGCATCAATACGTACCTAAGCATGTGTAAAACATTGCTATTTAACTAGTAAAAATGAGTCCAGGAACTTTTTAAGAAAGTAAATAGGGACAATTCTGATGTCAGCAATAATTGCTCTGAATCTTTAAAGTTGACCACAGAATGATTGTTTTATTTTGAGAGTAACTGTTTAATTACCTGCAAATAACCACTTCCTTTACCACTGCTTCCAAGATTGGACATTTCAAGCATGGCAGCAATGTCTCTAACGCTGCCCCCAGATGAAGATTTTTCAGAGGCAATTCCACAATCGCTACGTCTGCGCTCCCTGTATGTCACATTGAGTAGCAAATTGTTAGCCCTTTTTTCGCCAGACATTACATCATCAGCCACAGCCTCATCATCAGCCAGGTTACCAGTGGAAATGGAAGAGCACGAGCGTTTCGGTGGAGTTGGAGGACGAGTCCGTCTGCGAGGCCGAGCTGTAGCGAATGACTGACTGCGATTGACACTGTTGATGTCCAGAGTTTCACCAGAGGCTTTCGCTGAACTGCAAGGAGTGACCCTATGTCCACCTAGTGTTGCGTATTTCACAGAGGAGTCTGGCAAAGGTAAGTCGTGCTCAGCATCAGTAACATACTGTCCACTTCTTGGCTGGGATGGGGTTTGACCATTGCCCTCTTCGGTTTCTCCTTCAGGTGGTAGGCAAAGTAATGGAACGTTACGAGCGTGAGCATGCGAACGGGGAGAGTCACAAGACCCTCTGGCCCTACTCTGTGTTTTTAATGGGGAGGAAGGGATATGTGAAGGAGAATTTGAAGCAGAAGGTGAGGTTCTGCCTTTAGTAGGGGTGTGTGGAGGTGTTGGGGTGGGACTCTCAATTGAGCTAGGTTTTCTCAGAGGAGGAGGGGCATTAGCTCTTTGTATGCCTCGCCCATGGGTGCTGTGCCGGGGAGAGCCACGGCCTTCTGTTCTTTTGCGTATTCGAACAGAGGGGACGGAGTTTACATCTGGTTCTGTGCTGGTTTCTAATGATTGTTTTGAGTCTGTGCTTTCTTCTATCTGGCTCTCCTTGGTGGGAATGTCTGCTTCTGGAGATTCACTCAGTCGTTTGACAGCTAACATCAACTTCTTCTGGTGTCCTTAGTGGGAAAGAAAAAAAGAGGTGGACAGTAACTATTTTTGTTTGTGAGGTTAAACTTGTAATCTTTTCCCTGATGAAAAGACCAACATGAATATTAATTGTGGGTCAGTCTAGTCATATTGTTTATTTTGACAAAAAAATAAATATTTTCATTACATCACACTATTTTCCTTTGTTTTTTTACCAGCATTGGCATTGGGCACAAATGCATCATAAACATTAAAACAGATATACTGTATGTAAAATTAGACAAAAACAACATGCATAAAAGAAGACTCAAAGAAACCATATCCCCTATTAACAATCAGCAGACGCTATTATCATCCTTCTCACAAGTGAGAAACATTAACAGTTTTTCATACAAGATCCAAAAGTACTCACAAAACCACAATGCTGCATTTTAAAAATTAGTAAAAAATCTAAAGCAGAAGTAAAATTACATAAAGTAAGAGAAAAACATTTAGTTTAGTAAGTGCTTTGATTGTGGTTTAAGTAAAGTGCTGAGGGAAGAGTTGTGTCAGCTTCTTCTTGAAAATACACATGCCACCACAGAGGAACAAAGAAAGTTTTTTTTACCTTATGGCTGAAACCTGCATAGGATATACATCTAATATCCAACTTGTTCCATTTCTGTGCTCCTGAGTGTTTAAATGTCCTCTTATTCCTCATGCTGTTCAATATGGTCATGCTTGACCATATCAGCACATGCATCCCCCACTAGAAAACATCATCCAAAACACAATATACTAGTGACCAACTATGCCAGTCTTTTGAGCAAGGATATTGTCACACACCTCAATGGCACTACACTTCCCAGCATCCCTCATGTTTCCCGCCAGCGCACTATCAGCCATCACCTGATCACCTATCACCTGCACGTCATCAATCACCATGGACACTCATGATCATCACAGCTGTCTGTCATTGTCTCGTTATCATCTGTGTATTAAGTTCCTGCTTGTCTTCAGTTCAGTGTCTAGGGCTGCGTTCCAGTCCACTTTTAGACACGCACTTGCGAACTTCCCTAAGCACTTCCCCTCGGGGGAATCCCTGCCGCCATTTTGAAGTGCGTTCCACTTCGTGAAGTGGATAAGGGAAGTTTATATGGACAGACACTTGTTCCCTCGATTTTGTCCGAGGGAGCGAGTCTACTTCATATGTACACTTCAGGCAGCTCCATATACCACAATGCAACACGATTGTGACGTCACCGCAGATCTCGTCTAATCACCACCACCACAAACAACTCTGATATATTAATTAAATATATATATATTTAATTTAAAACAACCCAAACACACCTATATACATTTGGATGCTGCATTAAACAAATTCTTAAAGGAAAAAAAAATGTAAATAATAAATCAACTCCATGGCTGATTCCAAGTGATCAAGGGCTTAGGACGTTCCAATTCAGCCAATTGCAGTTTCCGCCAGTAGTGGGCACTCGTGCAACGTAAGCGATGACGTACATCCGAGTGAACAAGACGGAGGTAAGTTAGCAAGTGAAGGGCATGACAATTTTGGACTGGAACGCAGCCTAGGTCTACGATATGAGTTTAGTTGGTATTAAAATTGTATTAATAATGATGTGAATGATAATATATTAATAATTTTATTAGATATTTGTTTATTTAATTAGTAGCGAGTAAAGTAGGCTATTTTGATCCACACTCCATTTCAGAAGGTGGCGGTAATTCACATTAAAAAGTTGTTTGCCAACCGCCATGAAGAAGAAGAAGTTCAGTGTCTGGTATTGTTTGTGCATTGCATGCCGTCTCGCCTGTTGGTTGTGTTCTCAGTTAATCATTAAACAAACTTGTTACTTTTCAATGATCTCCGTCTTCCTTGGAGCTTATCGTGACAGAATACCGGACCTAAAACGTAATATGGGTGTTCTCCTCACCTCTTCAGATCCCGTCACTCGACTGGTGACCTGCTTCCAGGAGGGCCTCCAGATCGAGGAATATGTTGCGAGTTCCTGGGGCTTTCTCATGGGGTAAGCCGGGCAGATGACGTCTTCTGGCACGGACTGGACGATCAGCTGCACCAGCAAGCTCCAGCATCAGTGATCCTGGGTACGTTAGCACTATACCTGGATCATGTGCTGTGGTTGAGCGGTTCAGCCTTCACAGTGTGTGAGGCTGATTCTAACATCACTGCTCAACCACCATCACCAGCCTTCATCACCACACCTCCTGTCTTCGTCCAGAGCCCACAGACAAACCCAGTCTGTGCCCAGAGTCTCGTCCCGCAGAGACCGCTCGTCCCGCAGAGACCGCCCGTCCCGCCGAGACCGAGCCTGTTCTCATCATGTCCGCCGAGACCTACCCTCACCTCTGGACTGCACTCCTCTGGATACACCTCGTCCCTTCGTCCCCCCGGCTCTGTTGGACTCCTCACTCCCTTCTGTTCCTCCTTGGTCCTCACTCCCTTTGTCTCCACCGTGCCCTTCTGTGTTCCCGCCTGCACCTTAGTCGCCAGAGCCAGTGGCGTCGCCATGTGACGCCCGACCCTCCGCGTCGCCTGGGCTCGTCGGCTCTCCGGCTCCACCCTGGTCTCCTCTTCCACCTGCTCCGCCCCCGTCAGTCGGCCCCCTGGAATGGTCAACCCTGCCTCCACCATGGCTCCTCCCTCCGTCGTCTCCGCCCTGGCCGCCTCCACAGCCTGCTTTCCCCTGGCCGCCTACACCGTCTGCTCCGTCCTGGTCCCTCCTGCCTTCTGTCTGCCCTTCACCTGCTCTTCATCCTCCGCCTGCCCGGCCGGCCGCCGGTCTGTCTACGGCGTGAGGTTGCGGAGGGAGGGGAGGTACTGTCACACACCTCAATGGCACTACGCTTCCCAGCATCCCTCCTGTTTCCCTCCATCACCTGATCACCTATCACCTGCACGTCATCAATCACCATGGACACTAATGATCATCACAGCTGTCTGTCATTGTCTCGTTATCATCTGTGTATTTAGTTTCTGCTTGTCTTGTGCATTGCATGCTGTCTCGCCTGTTGGTTGTGTTCTGAGTTACTCATTAAACAAACTTGTTACTTTTCAATGATCTCCATCTTCCTTGGATCTTATCGTGACAGATATCAAGAATTTTTTTTTTTATTATAAATATAAACATAATGATGTGTAGTATACATGCCTAGTTTAGTGATGCCAATCTCCTTTAGGTCCTCCAGAGTAATATCACTAATGAAGTCCATATTGTCGTAGCCGTTCTGAACCAGAGTCTGGTAGTATTGATTCAGACCAATTGCAGACAGCCACTCAGCCAGACTGGCCTACAAAGTTAAACAGATATTTAGTAACAGAGTTGAACAGCAAGTTTGTACATGTGTATATACATACAGTGGGGTCAAAGTCTAAAAACTAATGAAATAATAATTTTGACTTTTCAAATTTTATGTTGTTATTATTAGTATTATTATTATAAAAAATAATATTATCAGCAAAACACTTTAACTCATATTTGGTTTATCATTCTTTTGCTTCAATGACTTCACAAAACCTGAAAATCATGTTCTACAATAAACGTCACAAATGTGCTTATTTGATGTGAAATAGTATACAGATACATATTTTGTATTCATTTTTTTTTTTTTTTAGAAAGCCTTCTTTTTTTTCTGGAACCCGACTTTATTTCTCTTACTGGTTTCTCTTGAGGTATCCAGTCTGGGATGTTCATTTTGCTGATCTCTGAAAGCATTTTCTTCCTGTGCCCTGGTTTTGTCACCCCAATAGCAGTGAGGTCCTGTGGGGTACACACACACACACACACACACACACACACACACAACATAATTTTAATTCAAGTGTAACTATTCCTTTAAGTTGAAGAGCAATTTGCAAAAGTGTGTAAAGTTTCTGACTATCATTATAATGTACAATGGCCCCAAAAACAATCTGGACACTTAAGTCACTCTCCAAAATATGAAATATTTTAAGCGTTAAAATACTTTTCGAGTATTTTGAAAGATGGCAGCTGTTTATGGTGGTAATATATAGCAGAAAGAAAGAAATGGATAACTAAATATAGAATTAAATATTTATTCCATCTTTAATAGAATAAAGAATTGATTGATAGCGTTGTGTTTGTGTTACCTCTGGTGTCATTCTGCTAATGGTCTGCAGGTCATAACCAGCAGTGAGAAAGTTTGCAGTGTAGAACTGCAGCTGTGCACTGGTGAGCCATTCAACAACAGCCTCTGAGCTCTACAACGCACACACACAAACACAGTAAGTCAGGGAAAGACGGAAACACATCAACAATTCAGACATTGCTTTGACAGTATCATGATTCCAAGTCCTAGTATGAAAGTGTGTCATGTAGTACACACTACAACCACTGTGTGGCAGCAAAAAAAATATTCTTGCTTTAAAATCATATATCACTAATCAAACATACCATAGTAATACTGTAGATTTTGGATATGTTCTTTGAAACACCTTAACGTAAACCCTGATATAACTGAATATAGTAACCCTTAAACAGGGATGTCATGCACAAGTGACAGTAAAGACATGCATAAGCATAATGTTATAAAATATTTCTATTTCAAATAAGTGATGTTCTTTTGAACTTTCTATTCATCAAAGAATCCTAAAAAATGTATCACGGTTTCCGCAAAAAAGTAGCATAACTTTTTTTTTTACATTGATAATAATTATAAATGTTTCTTGAGCAGCAAATCAGAATAGAATGATTTCTGAAGGATCATGTGACACTGAAGACTGGAGTAATGATGCTTTGCATCACAGGAATAAATTACACATTAAAATATATCTAATTAGAATAATACTATTATAATAATACTTTACAATATTACTGTATTATGAACAAATAAATGCAGTCATGGTGAGAATAAAAGATTTCTTAAAAATAAAATATATTTAAAAAAAACTTTCCAAAACTTTTGAAAAGTAGTAGGCTATATGTTTAAAAGTGATTAATCAAGCTTTACTTACAACATTCATTCTCATTAAAACACTAACATTATGATAAACACATCTGGGCCACCACACACATACACTTGCCTTGCTCTCAGCTGAAACTTCATCTTTCCTCTGCAGCAATGGATCCACAAAGGGTTTCTTCTTTTGCTGACGTGGGGCAGCAGATGCACTCTGGGTCCGCTGAGAAGACACTACAGCAAAAAAGTAAATAAAATTAAAAACAAGTACCTTTTTATATATTTTTACTTACCAGAACTTTGAATACACGTATGGGCTTATTAAAACTTTTGGACGCATAGAACAATGGATATATGAGATGTGTACAAATGAGACATAATGAGACAAACCTGTATTCTAAGATCAGTCTAATATTTGAATGTAAATAGGGGTTTTAAAACCATAAAATAAAATATAAATTTCAATGGATCCCAAAAGTATTTGCACACACGTACAATTGATCTTTTTATAGCAAAACATCAAACCAGGCAAACAAAGCACAAACACACTCTTCAAAAAAAATTATAAATCACTAGATTGTTTTGCTATTTTACTGACTTCAAACATCCCCTAAAATTCAGCTGGACACCAGTAATTGTACAAGAAAAGTGAAGTTAGTTCTGAGAATGTTGGTATACATATCGTAGTACCTGAATTAGGATCTAAAGACTGTGATTGGTCCATAAGATGCTCTTTTGCTTTGGCTGACTGGGACAGCACCGTGGCCAACAGCTAAAACACACACACAAATGCACACATACATGATCAGTAATGTGAGAAATAGAGAGAAAGACAGACAAAGAGAGAATTTATACATCTGTCCTCGTGTGCATCTATGGTCTTTGTGTGCGCCGCACCTTCACGCCCTCGGCCTGAGCATGCAGTCCCGGCACATTGAGGCCATGTGTGTTAACTCCGGGTGAGTGTGTGGGGGTGGTCGGCACGGGCACTGGTGAGTTGGTGAGATGAGCGTTGGCATTACTGCTTTGTCCGCTAGTAGATGAACGTCCACTGGTCAGACTGCCTGTGCTGCCCATGCTGCCAACACTGCCCCCTGCTGGCAGGTACAAGTTATCATGCAAGAAACCAGAAATAAAAAAAAAACGTTGAGTATGTCCATGTTTGTGCATGCTTTATTTCGATAGTACATTCTATCGATAGACATTCTACTAGCTGTAAGTAACCTTGCAACTACATGTCAACTAGCAGTTATTACTGCTTAATATCTTGACTCTGCAAGTACATGTCAACTTATTCTACTTATACCCTAACCCTGACTTAGCAGTCTTCTAATACTCTAATGAGAGTTAGTTGACATACTTGCAAATGAATGAGAGTTAGTTGACATGTAGTTGCAAAGTTACTTATAGTCAGTAGAATGTCTAAAGTGGAATATTGAAATAAAGTGTAACCGTATTTAGGTAGTTGACAAATAACTTAAAACAAACTTTTTTGAATTGATATGACTGTATAAGTTAAAGTTTTTGGATCTTCTGTAATTTCAAAACATTTAAGCGTATTGTCCCGACATCCATAAGAGCCATGTATATAACATCACTGATGTCTGTTGCGACGGCTCTTGAAGCACCACAAATGAATCCACAAATGAGATTTGATGATATTTTCAGTGAATAACCACTTAAATGTCTTTTCATCCTACTATGGTATTATATTGCTTCAGAAGACTTGGAATATTGTGCTTTCTTCCTTTTAAGAGCTTGACCATGTGAATCATCGTTTATTTTTTTAATTGTATGAAAAAGAGCAGGTCAAAAATTCTGCAATATTTTTCCTTTTATTTTCCATGGAAAAAGAAAATCTTAAAAAAATCCCCCTTGTAGTCAATCATATTATCCCTTAAAACTCACCTTTGATAACCAAAATGACATATTTACTATTTTTTTCCTTGAAAAAAAAAATTCTTCATGCCTTAAAATAGATTGAATGTAACTACACCAGGGCTATTCAACTAGCTACATTCGAGGGCCGGATTATCAAATCAAAAAGTTGAGTTGGGTTGGTTTGGGGGTTTAGCTTATTTATTGACACATTATTGACACATTATTTATTGAAACATAACAGTTTCAATAAATAAGCTAAAGTAAACCTAAAAAAGTATTGTATTTACTTGGAAATGTGGTACCCAACATTATGCAGATATATAAGACCATAATAAATAAAAACTGTTTTCAAATGTTCAACGATTTTCCTTGGAACAAATAAATGATTTATACAAGCTCATAGCTATTGGCAAGAAATAAGACTTATTTTATTTATAATTGTTATGCTTAAATGAAAATATTCTGACAGTGAGACTTGATAACCGCTACTCACTCCCACTGTATAAAAAAATGCCATATCTTCATAAAGATACTGACATCATTTAAAGGAACAGAAAAACGGAAATGAATTCTATGATTCCTCTACCCATCTAATAAATCTAATGCAGTATAAATGACTATAACATATTCAATATAAATATTCCACATTTTTGCCCAAACCATGGTAAATTACTACAGTACATTCATGGTAAATGTTTGTAAGGGTGGTTCTTAGGGGTTTTAAAGTCTTCTAACTTTGTTCATGGCACAATGTTTCTCCTGCTCTCCTCATCAGTCTTTTTGGGAATGTTGAGGCTGTTTCATCCGATTTATTACTAGTTAAATCATCGAGTGATTTGTGATTTGTGGTTTGTAATAGAGAGGTGTGTGTCGAATTGAAACGCTTCCCACTGGTTGTCGCAGCGCTGTTTAATAATAGTGTCCGGGACCGGGAGTAAACGCAACTCCGTACTGGGCCGTGCTGAAACAACCAGTGAAACAACTGAAAACAGCGCTATTTGTTGTTACTGTACTGACCGAGAAACCGCTTCAGATGATTCAGTGACAGAGCGGTCCGTCCCAACGAATCCGAATAGTTTCAGACTGTTATGCAAGCGCGTTTAGAAAAAATCAAACCAAAAGAATGATTCATTTACGAATGATCGGTATCGCTGGTTCAGTTGACAGAAATAGGGAGACATAATAACTACTGAAATATTTGCACGTAAAACGTTTCAAGCGCGTATCAAACTAGATTAGCCGGACCATCCGCGGGCCGCCAGATGAATAGCCCTGCTCTACACCCTTGCCTCATTTAGAAGATGCGGTTCTATGAATATGCAAATTAGCCCCGCCTCCTACATTTACTCACACCAGCTCAGAGATCCACTCGTTGGCGATCACACGTTCACCTAAATGGTTACAAGGTAGTTTGTGACGTCAGAAACACCAGCGTATTTTTTTTCAGTCTGTCTTTGGTTCACTGCAGTTTTAAGGAGAAAATACTCAGCAATGCTGTTGACTTATGAATTTGCACATGGTTTGTCATTAAAAACACCACACAGACATATAAACAAAATTAAAACTTTGATTTTCACCACAGGGGGACTTTTAAGGTTTGGAATCCAATTGAATAGTCCTTTTTATTTATATTTATAAACTACCGTTCAAAAGTTTGGGCTCAATAGGATGTTTTTTGTTGAAAGAATACTTTTATTCAACAAGAACACCTTAAATTGGTAAAAATACATATAAAAATAACAGTATTGACTTTTATAATATTACAAAAGACTGTTTCAAATAAATGCTGTTCTTTTCAACTTTAAATTCGTCAAACAATCCTGAAAAAAAAGCTATACCACAGTGTCCACATACATATTAAGCAGCACAACTGTTTTCAACATTGATCATAATAAGAAATGTTTCCTGAGCAGCAAATCACCATATTAGAATATTAGAATGATTTCTGAAGGGTCATGTGACACTGAAGACTGGAGTAATCATGCTGAACATTCAGCTTTGCAGGAATAATTAAAAAATATATTCAAATACATAACAGTTATTTTAAATTGTATTAATATTTCACAATATAACTGTTTTACTGTTTTTCTGATCAAATAAATGCTTTCTGGGTGACCATAAGAGACTTCTTTCAAAAACATTGAAAACCTTTTACTGACTCGAAATTTTTTATATTTTTAAACGTGTAAATATCCCATGTAGTTTCCCAATTAATATGAGACAATAAAAGCAGCAAACATAATAAACATAAATAAATATAAATAGTTTTAGATGAAGCATAGCATATCACGCTCACTGCTCACGCCACATCAACTGTCCATTGAAAAACTGTGTGTTTACCAGCTAAAGGTTTTCTCAGAACCCAAATCTCCTCATTTGCGCTGCTTTGCTGGCCGCTGAGGGTTGGAGAACCGTGAGGGCTGGAAACGGATCCCCTTGAGCCTGAAAGATATCACACACACACAATCATAGTGATGTCAGAATGAAATGCATTGCTTTGCAAGCTCCTAATTTGCAAAACCAGATACACACAGAGGAAGCAGATAGTAAAGGGATCATTTGGGGGTAATTCAAATGGACTGTAGCATATCCAACAGTAATCTGGAATTACAAAACTTTAGTTAGCTGTGAAATGTAATGTCTAGCACTGAAATTCTTGCACTTTATTTTACAGTGTGTACTTACAGTGTACTTAAGAAACTACTGGGTAATATAAGGTACAGTAACTACATGGGTTAAGGTTAGGTTTAGGGGTAGGTTCAGGGTTAGTACCTAGTTATTACCCAGTTATTGTATTACTATAATAAGTACAGTACATAGTATGTACATGGGAAACAGGACTGTAAAATAAAGTGCTACCAAGATTTCTCATGACTGTTTCTCATGCAGTATTACAGAAAAAAGGTACAGTAATACAGTTTGTTTTATTTAAATATGCATAAAAAGGCTAATAATAGACTACGGATTATGATCATCACTTGTAAAATATGCTGGTTAGGTGCTCAAGAAACATTTCTTATTATTAATGCTAAAAAATGCTTAATATTTTTGTGGAAACTGATTTCAGGATTCTTTATTGAATATTCAAAAGCATTTATTTTAAATGGATTTTTTTAAACAATAATGTCACGTTTAATCAATTTAATTAATCATTGCTGAATAACAGTATTCATTTCTTTTAAAAAATATGTATATATAATATATAATTATATCCTTTTTCATACTGTCATAATTTTTTTGCACTATATGGTAAATAGAATTGGGGGGAAATATGCTAAATAGACATTTAAAAAAACAGCAGTAAAAAAAAAAAAAAAGGATTACATTTTCTTTATGGAAAACATAATATTTCAACTTTTTTCTCAGGTTGAAATATGGCCTGGACATGTTCTTCACACAAATATCTCTGATACTGCTAATTTTGTATGTTACACATCCAACTTTCTCAAAGACATTCAGATTCACATCCTGTTTTCTCCATTTTACTATGGTCATGAAGTTTAAAAAAAAGCCAGGTGTATGATATGATATGCTTATGACGGGTACATGTGTATTTTTCTGACTGTATGTGTGTGTTTATACCTGTCTCTTTTTGTGGCTCCTCTGAGCAGGAGGAGGCTGGTTCATACCCAATTGTGCTGCAGGTAGGCATATTATAGCCAAATGAGGTGAAGAGGGGCTGATGGGTAAGGGGCTGGGAAGGAGGGGGTGGGGGAGTGAGGGGCAGAGAAAAAATGTGGGAGCAGTCACCGTTCACCATGACAACTGAACCAATTGCTGGCGGACGGATCTGTATCTTAAGATACTGTTGGGTTGAGGGACCTGGGTACAACAGAACAACAGGCGACACCAAAAAAACACAAACAACAACAACAAGAACAACAAAAAAACAGGAAAGGAAACACAAAACAAAACATGTTCAAGCAAAAATATCTAACTCTACAGCTGAGCTTATCTTTATCCTGTAAGTTAACATGCAAGGTGAAAATTAACGCTTTAGAAAACTGAAAAAAGAACTATACTCATGCACACTATTTTCACAAAACATACTTGAAATGCATTCCCAAAAACACCAAATTTATAACTGATCTATGTGTTATGCATGCAGACTACATTCATGCACGAAAAGGGAGAAAACGGGGATTTGAAGTGTGTTGGAATGTGTACATCAATCAGTGTTACATTTCAATATTGGTGCATTTCATTATTGCAGTGGTGTAAAGTATTTGAGTAAATGTAATTATGTGCTTAAGAATCTTTTTGGCTACTTTGTACTTTGAGTATCAAATATATGAAAGCTTTAGCGTAGGTTCTACCAGAAAGACTCTAACTATGAGGGTCTGGCCAATCACTGCTTGACACTTGGAATATGAGTGCTGAACTTTCTCTTTTACATTGACAGTTGATGAGGCTGACGTTTCTCTCCATCCTCCACACCTCTACCAGGCTGGTCCCTGTCCATCCGTCTGGGGTGGGCTCTGCCCCTGCCTTCATCTTTCGGCAGGATCAGCCGGAATCTGCTTCCCCCAGGATCTGGATTAAAGACGAGGCCTAAGCCAAAGAACTTTTTTATAATAATAACTATATATGAATCATTGTAACTCGCTACCATCTGTTAATACTTTATGGAATAAATATTATGTAAACGTTCACTTGCCCTCTGAGTCTTTCTGGTAGAAATTAGCAACTTTTACTCTCTACTTGACTACATTTTTCCATAAGTATTCTAATGCATTTGTGATGAGTAAGCACCTGACTTTTTCTGCAGTAGTTTATTTCTTTTACAAAAGAAGCAATATCATCATCTACAGGGTATTGGAGGTATTATATCTTGTGCGTTTTTCCCTTACTCACACCAACTTGTCAAAAAGTCTACTTTAGGCAAATGCGAGTGCATTAAAGGGTTAGTTCACCCAAAAATGAAAATTCTGTCAGTAATTACTCACTCTCATGTTGTTCCAACCCCGTAAGAATTTCGTTCATCTTTGGAACACAAATTAAGATATTTTTGATTAAATCTGAGAGCTGGATCACTCCTCCATAGGCTTCTTAAGGGATCGAAAGTGGCCGGCCAAAAAGTTATGAAAGACATCGTTAAAATAGTCCGAGTGACTACAGTGGCTCAATCTTAAGTTTATCAAGCGACGAGAATACTTTTTGTGCGCAAAAAACAAACAAAAATAACGACTTAATTCAACTAATCATTTCCTTCTCTGTGGGCCGTGATATTTCACGTAGTGAAACTACGCAAAGCTTCTAGGTTGGACGTCACGCATCACACACATGACCAGCGTCGGCCAATAGTGAGCCTACGTGTGACGTGCAACCTAGAAGCTTTGCGCAATATCACTACGTGAAATATCACAGCCGTACAGAGAAGGAAATGATAAACTTAAGGTTGAGCCACTGTAGTCACTCGGACTATTTTAACGATGTCTTTCATAACTTTTGGGCCGGCCAGCTTCGATCCCTTAAGAAGCCTATGGAGGAGTGATCCAGCTCTCAGATTTAATCAAAAATATCTTAATTTGTGTTCCGAAGATGAACGAAAGTCTTACGGGGTTGGAACAACATGAGGGTGGGTAATTACTGACAGAATTTTCATTTTTGGGTGAACTAACCCTTTAACAGGTAGTTGCTGAATCGTAGGTGTTTCATATATGAGATGTGGATCTTCAGCCGTAGATTAAGCTTTGACCATTTAATTTTGCTCAACAATATTTTATTTATTCGTTATATATCCTTTTTTAAGGATATTTGTTTTCTTATGGCCTTTTTGAGCACTTGAGTTTAACTCAGGGTTGAGTGTCTGTAGATGTTTAAGAGGCTGTTGTGTCCACATTGATTTATTCCAATATTGAGGTGTTCAATGTAATTTCGATTTTAGAAAATAAACATGCGATTTCTCTCCTCACAAATCAGCTGTTTCTTGTTTTTCACTGGCATGTCTCTTAGGTGTTGAGGACTAGTGCATCTTTAAGCCTACATTCAGTATGAATAAAATACTTGATACTCTAAGACTTTTACACAGATGGTATTGGATTTGGTGACTTGTAACTTTTTTTTTTGTAACTACTTTAACTTTAAAGTATGGTTTTCAGGTACTCTTTACACCAATTCAATATTAAAGTAAACATTTTTTAAAAGTATAAAGTAATAATGGATTTCATGGACACATGGTCCATAGAGTCCCATTTATTACTGATTTTAAATTATGCGAATATTGATGTTCATCCAGCAAGAGGCTCTAAACACACTATTTTGAGTCTCAGACTTCAATGGAAGTTTATGAGAAGTTATGTGTGATTATATATCGATATGACTACAAAATAAAAATGATAATACAAATAACTATTAAACAAATTTTTTAAAAAATTAGGTAAAAACATAAAAATAGGGATATTCAAGAAAAAAAAAAGTAATTTCTGGCAGAAAACCTCAGGAACCCTTAAAGCTTCTCTTTTGTTGGCATTAGCAGGTTTATAAGCACTTCTAAAGTTTGAGAAGATTGTTGGCATATGCTGCGTTCCCAAACGCACATTAAGCGACCCAAACTCAGAGCAGATGTGGAGATGAGTTCACATGGAGCAGCTTTTACTGTGAACTGAGCCGCTCCGAGACAAAAAACCCTGGATCATGAACTCCTTCCGTGTAACAGTGCCGAACTTCACTCTGAAACATGCAGCCCATATATTTACATAATTAAAACAAAAATTTTGGGATTTGTTAAGGACGTTATGCCACATCGCAATTTAGTTTTTCTTTTAATTAATCACGCAGCCCTAGTTTTAATCACTGTCATTTTTATCTTGACTAGAAGCTCAGCTTCTCTTGAATATTTTAGTACACATTCTGACATTGATATGTGATGTTGTTTCTTCGCTCTTGAGAAGCAGCAGTCGCCACTGATCTGCATGTATAAATGTGTGAAAGCCTGTTTGCATGTGTGCGAATGTGCAGAAGTGTGAATCCACTGATGTGAGGTGAGTTGAAAGGAAAGGAAGGGGGCACATGGAAACGATGGTACAGGTGGACGCAGAGATGACCGAACAGTGACAGATAGATGAGCCACTCTCATCTGCCCTCTTTCTCACTCCATCTCTTTCATGTCTTCGAGCTGACGCCTCTAACTACAATCACTTGACTGGTGATAAAGGGCAGGGCAGTTGGATATAGAACAGTGTTGCCAAGTCTGTGGTTTTACACTGTTGCCGCGGGGGTTTTTTTGTAGTCCGCGGGTTGAAGCGTCCCCCTCCCCGGAATGCAATTTTTTACCGGGGAATGTGATTTTTACCGGGGAATGCGATTGGGATAGTTTTGAAAGTGATGGGATAGTTATGAATTAGCAGTTGGGCTAGTTTTGTTGTGCAGATCTGGCAACCCTGATATGGAGCGAATGAACAGCCACCCACACAACCACACACATACACTAGGATTGGGCTTGAGTACTCATGTATTTAAATACACAGAAGACACAGAAGACAGCAGCTCCATCAAAGTTTATAATCTTCTAGGGAAACAATCATCTGATCACTTTGTTCATAATTTGAGGCATCATTTATGTCAGTGGCACAAACAGTAGAGTCCAACAGCCGGGTTCCGGAAGTAAAAACTCCATTCTTTTTCTCCATAGGGAAATAGATTTTGATAACTTATAAACACTTAAAGACAGACCTACTGTGAGCTACGAGGTTATTCATCAATGGCATTTGCTTCTACTGAAGATGTCAGCCCACATTATTTCAGCTTATTTTTAAAATAATCTATTTTAATAGAGGAATTGGTGAAAAAAAAAAACATTACCCATGATGCTGTACAGAAAATTACACCAATCAGAGAGTCAAAAAAGCAAAACGTCTGTTTTGCAAAACACTCAAAATATATTGTTTTTTTTATATATATAATCAACAATTGTAAATGAGTAGTTTTATGTTTCCCCATCATTTTTAATTCGATCATGCTGTTCGCAATGCTTCATGGGATTGTAGTTCTTTCCCTCAATAAAGATGTTAAGTACACAGTCTTTTACCTTTGTATTTTTTTCCAGATTTTCAAATACTTTTTTGCTTCAAATCAAAGTTTGCAGTGTTGTGATTTACCTCGTAGCTGATTGTCTTGGTTCATGGCTTATAATTCTTTTTTTTAAATCCCTATGGGAAAAATGAATGGAAAAAGGGGTTGGGCGCTAATGCACTCTACACTTAAACGTTTGTTCCAATAGTAACAAACCTACTCGGTTGATGTATCAGTTGAGGACTCAAGAAGACGAAATTAACAAAATGCTCATCCCTAATCTACACACACAACAATAAATACACAAACACTCATAAATGCAGAAATGCATGCACTAAATACAAACTCACCAGAACCCACACACACATGAACATTTAAATGCCAGGTAGATGAGCTTCAGATTGACCTTGATTTTAAAGTGGATTAAAATGTGCATATGTGTCACATGACACCCTAGAAGGCTCATGTGACGATGCAATGGCACACCTGCCCTTTTGATGACTTCCACCATGTTGGAGGGAAAGTAACCCACGCGGTCATTTCCTGTGCGGTTATCATGGATACAGCCCTTCCATCGTCCATCAGAATGCTGCTCCAAGACCTGAGGAGCAAACAGACATGTTGCAGAATGTGCCTGGAGTTGAAAACAACCAATACATTGCACTGCACCATGCAACAAAACTAAAATATTTTTGGTTTAAAAATGTTCTTTTGCCCATTATTATTTTATTGCATTAACTTATGTTAATATATACAGTAGAACCTTATTGTATTGTCTTACCAAAAGGATAAAGTTATAAAGACTATTAGGTCGAACCCAGGTTTCCAAAAAGTTTACTACTTATGTCTTACACACTACTGTTCAAAAGTTGGGGGTTGTAACATTTATTTTAAAATATTATTATATTCTCACAAAGGCTGCATTTATAAAAAAATAAAATAAAATAAAAAAACAGTAATATTATTACGATTGTTGCAACTATTTTATATTATTGTCACGAACACTCGGTTATCTTTGATTTTTGATGGACTTTTAGTTTATCTTCTGAAGTTCATGAAAAAAAAAAAATAACTGAGTGTTCGTGACAATTACAGGTCCTTCTCAAAAAATTAGCATATTGTGATAAAGTTAATTATTTTCCATAATGTAATGATAAAAATTAAACTTTCATATATTTTAGATTCATTGCACACCAACTGAAATATTTCAAGTCTTTTATTGTTTTAATACTGATGATTTTGGCATACAGCTCATGAAAACCCCAAATTCCTGTCTCAAAAAATTAGCATATCATGAAAAGGGTCTCTAAACGAGCTATTAACCTAATCATCTGAATCATCTAATTAACTCTAAACACCTGCAAAAGATTCCTGAGGCTTTTAAAAACTCCCAGCCTGTTTCATTACTCAAAACCGCAATCATGGGTAAGACTGCCGACCTGACTGCTGTCCAGAAGGCCATCATTGACACCCTCAAGCAAGAGGGTAAGACAGAAAGAAATTTCTGAACAAATAGGCTGTTCCCAGAGTGCTGTATCAAGGCACCTCAGTGGGAAGTCTGTGGGAAGGAAAAAGTGTGGCAAAAAACGCTGCACAACGAGAAGAGGTGACCAGACCCTCAGGAAGATTGTGGAGAAGAACCGATTCCAGACCTTGGGGGACCTGCGGAAGCAGTGGACTGAGTCTGGAGTAGAAACATCCAGAGCCACCGTGCACAGGCGTGTGCAGGAAATGGGCTACAGGTGCCGTATTCCCCAGGTCAAGCCACTTTTGAACCAGAAACAGCGGCAGAAGCGCCTGACCTGGGCTACAGAGAAGCAGCACTGGACTGTTGCTCAGTTTTGCATGTCATTCAGAAATCAAGGTGCCAGAGTCTGGAGGAAGACTGGGGAGAAGGAAATGCCAAAATGCCTGAAGTCCAGTGTCAAGTACCCACAGTCAGTGATGGTCTGGGGTGCCATGTAAGCTGCTGGTGTTGGTGCACTGTGTTTTATCAAGGGCAGGGTCAATGCAGCTAGCTATCAGGAGATTTTGGAGCACTTCATGCTTCCATCTGCTGAAAAGCTTTATGGAGATGAAGATTTCATTTTTCAGCACGACCTGGCACCTGCTCACAGTGCCAAAACCACTGGTAAATGGTTTACTGACCATGGTATTACTGTGCTCAATTGGCCTGCCAACTCTCCTGACCTGAACCCCATAGAGAATCTGTGGGGTATTGTGAAGAGAAAGTTGAGAGACGCAAGACCCAACACTCTGGATGAGCTTAAGGCCGCTATCGAAGCATCCTGGGCCTCCATAACACCTCAGCAGTGCCACAGGCTGATTGCCTCCATGCCACGCCGCATTGAAGCAGTAATTTCTGCAAAAGGATTCCCGACCAAGTATTGACAATTGAGTGTATAACTGAACATAATTATTTGAAGGTTGACTTTTTTTTTTGTATTAAAAACACTTCTTTTATTGGTCGGATGAAATATGCTAATTTTTTTAGACAGGAATTTTTGGTTTTCATGAGTTGTATGCCAAAATCATCAGTATTAAAACAATAAAAGACCAGAAATATTTCAGTTGGTGTGCAATGAATCTAAAATATATGAAAGTTTAATTTTTATCATTACATTATGGAAAATAATGAACTTTATCACAATATGCTAATTTTTTTAGAAGGACCTGTATAATATAATTTTAGAATGTAATTTATTCCTGTGATGCAAAGCTGAATTTTCAGCATAATCTTTCAATCTTCAGTGTCACATGATCCTGCAGAAATCATTCTTATATGCTGATTTGCTGCTCAAGAAACATTTCATATTAATATCAATGTTGAACAGTTGTGCTGCTTAATATTTTTGTGAAAACCACGATGCATTTTTTTTTTCAGGATTCTTTGATGAATATAAAGTTCAAAAGAACAGGATTTATTTGAAATAGAGATCTTTTGTTACTTTATAAATGTCTTCACTGTCACTTTTGATCAATTTAATGCACCCTTGCTGGATAAAAGTATTAATTTCTTTCAAAATAAATCATACTGACCCATAATTTTGAATAGCATTGTATATAAAGAACCACTAATCCTGCATAAAAAAAAATGTCATGTGCATGACTAAGGGTGTAAAGTTTAGTTAAGCTTAAAAAAAATGCACAACTTGCTACTTTGTTATAGTAAAATAATTGCTTCTTTACCGTGATGATGTCGCCTGTTTTAATGTTGAGGCTTGTAAGGTCATAGTTGTTGCAGTAATCCTTCAGAGCCTTCACTTGCATAGCAGCCGATGCATCTGTATGCAGGAACAAACACACACACACACACACACACACACACACACACACACACACACACACACACACACACACACACACACACACACACACACACACACACACACACACACACACACACCAGTGATTTCAGAAAGCCTTTGACTCTACCTTTCTGTGTGAATTTTTGTTTTCTCCCATTGTACCTCTCAGCATCTGTTTGATCTCCTTGCTGGCTTGGGTAGTGGTGAACTGGTTAACAATATCCAGCGCTGTCTGACAGAATGTGTTCCTCACTCCAGCACTGATACCACTCTGCAGAGAAAAGCCAGAATACACATTCACATGGTACAGAGTGATTACACTGACAATACAGACATGCACACATTCACATGACGATCATTAACATACCAGCAAACTCCCAAACACAACCAGTGCTCATATCAAACACACACAGTCTAGAAGACATCGGTTTCAACTCTTCCATTCTTATGTCTTCAAAAAACTTTTACCTCAGTGGAGCATTAAGATTAAAGGCTCATATTGCATATTGGTTCACAGAGAAATGGAGACTGACTCATCTTGTACAATGATTTGAGTGACTCAGTGACCTGCACTTTTTGTCACTATAGTAGTGGAATAAACAAAGGGGGAAAATCCATTGTGACAGTGACAGAATAGACTACACCACTATTCAGAAGTTGGGGCTCAGAAAGATTTTTTTAAATTAATATTTTATTCAGCAAGGATGCATTGGATTGATTAAAGGGGGGCAGTAGAAAACATTTAGAATGTTACAAAAGATTCTATTTAAACTTTTTATTCATCAAAAAATCCTGGGTGAATCAAGGTTCCCACAAAAATATTAAGCAGCTGTTTTCAGCATTAATTGATTATAATAATAAAAAACAAATCAGCATATATGAATGATTTCATCAGCTTTACCATCACCGGAATAAATAAATAAAAATGTTACAAATAAAAGAGTTATTTTAAATTGTAATGTATTAGAATATTAAAGTTTTTATGGTATTTCTGATCAAATAAGTGATCAAACAATCTGTGGAAGAGGGGGAGTGGTTTGGAAGCGGTTGCAGATGGAGAGCGAGTGGGGGGAACTGAATGGTAAGGGAAACGCCTCTGGTTAATGAGAACTAACAGGTGTTTGCACTTTGCAGTGTGTCGAGAGATGGGTGAAAAGGAGCGGCGTGAGTGCAGAGAGTCCCTGTCTGGGAAGTGAGCTGTGCACGTGAAAGCAGCGCTAAAGTGTTGTATACAGAAGTCTGAGATTCAGCTGAAAAGCTCTCCTGATATATTTTTGTTTTTGAAGTGTCTGAATAAATTACGTGCACCCTGTCTCCTTCATCTCCACCTCAACAAGCTTTAGCTTTCCCACACAATCTTACTGACCCCTAAACATTATCATAATATTTTATATATTGAGTATTTTTGCGTATATATTTTATATACAAGCATATTTAAAAAAAATAAAAAAAAATAATGCATGTCATTGGTGGCAAAAAGTCATTGTGGACACCACACATTATATAATGCATATAGTAATGAAATACTCACATCCAGCAGCAGTCGTACAGCCTCGATTTTCCCGCAGAGAGCAGCTTCATGCAACGCTGTGCCTGATTTAGTCTGTCGGTTTATATCTATACCAGCCTGGATCAGTAACCTGAACACACACACACAAAACACTTTATAAAAGCATTTTTTTAGTAAAAAGGCTCTCTTTCACAACATCATTCAAACTAGTACAAATTTTATCAATATGAACATAAAAAAGAAAGGCAGAGTCTAAGATAGACTTTTTGCACTCTTATTTCCAGGGAAAGATTATTAAAATAAAAAAATGAAGGGGTCCAAACACATCAAATGTAAGTATCATTAAGTAAATGTAAGTATTAAAGGACACCTATTCATTTTGTTTTTGGGGTCTACTAGAATAGGTTTTCATGCTTGAATGTTCTAAAAACACATTTTTCACATATTTGACATTGTTGCAGCACTTCCCAGTCTGTCTGCAATTCTCTGTTTAGTTTCTGTCCGTCTCTATGAAGCCCCTCCTTCCAAAAGCACAATGTGCTCTGATTGGTCGGCTGGATCAGTGTGTTGTGATTGGTCAACCGCTTCAAGCGTGTTTTGGGAATGTCACGCCCCTTACTAGCAGCGCGCACTACACACTACTAACACAGCTGACCCAGGCCTTGTCTTTTTTTCCGTATGCCTTAGGAGGGAATTATTTAAATGAGGAATATTGTGATGTGTCCGTTCCCGGAAGACTGCAATCGAGGCATTTCAGGGAGTTCAGAAACAGTGCGCAGTGATATAGAGAATAACTAGCTTTGGAGAGACTTTGAGCTGTGTAACTTTGCAGACCTTTTTCTTTCATTTACATTTTTTTTTTTAAATGTAAAAAAAAGCATAATAGGACATCTTTAAAATATAATAATTCCTGTATAAAACTAAGGTAGATGAACTGTGGCCAGGACAAATGCTGGCTTGCTTCAGATTTGTGCAGCGATTAAATCATCTGGAGGGCTGTACAAAAGTGATTTACTGGTCAGATTTGGCCTTTTAGTTGAGAAGCCGTGGTGTAGGAACTGATGTCCAGGATAGGCATTTAAAATGTGTCTTTCATATCCGTCAAACCAAACACAAATTCATACTGATCCACAAGCAGCCTAAAATGTTTGATGAATGATGAAATCACTAATTAACGACGTGCGTCACTAGGCAGTGACGGCACTGTCCATCAAAAGGAAAAACGAGGACACTCGGTTCGAATGCGTGTGTGTGTGCGAATCTAATGAATGAAGCCTCCAGGGACTGATCGGACAGCCCACAGTGCCTTTCATTTCTCCCATCATCCCCGATCCCTTTGCTCCTGACCTGTCTTGCCACATCAGTCATGACACAGAGACAGTTTTGTGTCACTGAGCTAAATGCTGTGTCAGGATTTTGCACCGTCAATGTCTGTCCCCTTGTACAGAATTTATAACTGCTAAATGAAAGCAATATAAAACAATTTCTCGCAAACATCCTCACATAACCTCTTCATTTGCCCGAGTTTTGCAGACTTTGCATATATTCTGTACATAGATGTATTCTTAAAATAAAAAATTTAACCAAATATATTAATGAAATATTGATGATAATGTTGTTCTCATCAACAAATCTAATCAGTTTGAGAAAGTTGTAATATAATCATGCCAAAGCCTTGATCTGACTATAGGACATGTGCAACATATGAGCACTTTTATAATAATGTCCTCACTTGAAGGATGTGGCAGATAAAAACTACAACCTAAATGACAACTGTTTTTACTTCAGCATACATGCTGAAATAAAGTGGCTAAGAACCAAGTCATCGTAGTTACAAAGCCAAGAAGTCCAGTGAGCACCTACTTGATGATTTCGATATGTCCATTCTTGGCAGCCAAATGTAGTGGGCTGATGCCATTGGGATCGGAGGGCTTCGGTTCTAACATGGCAGCACACATGTTACTGCTAAGGAGCAACTGCACCACCTGTAGAACACACAGAAAACATGCATGCATTCACACACAGCTTAAACAGGTGTGTAGGCCTTATCCCAGAACAAAAAAGCAGACTGTGGAAATACCGTGGTAAAGTTGTTGTTATGTGATTGAAAGATACTTTGATATATACCATGGTTACTGGATGATGCCACACTCATACAGCATGGTATTTGCACTACCGGTTTGGGGTCAGTAGGTTGTTTTTTTTTTTTTTAAGAAAGAGAGAAATTAATACTTTTATTCAGTGAGAACAAATTAAATTGATTAAAATGAGTGACAGTAAAGACATTTATAATGTAACAACATATTTCTATTTCAAATAAATACTGTTCTTTTGAACTTTCTATTCATCAAATAATCCAGATTTGTTTTTATCATGGTTTCCACAAATATATTAAGGAGCACAACTGTTTTTAACATTGATAATGATAAATGTTTTACTGCATTTACAATATTACTGTTGTAAATAGTAGTAATACAATTTAAAACAATTTACAACTATATTACTGCATGTACTGTATTTATATCAAATTAATGAAGTCTTGGTGAACATAAGAAACTTAAAACTCAAAAATATAAAAAAAAATCTTACTGACCTCAAACATTTGAACGGTGGAGTAAATGGTACTTCAGTGAATTAATCGTTTCAACTATGAAAGTGCATTAGGCGTTTAAGTGTTTTATTCATTTGTATTAATATGTATAACTAATAATTATTATTATTTTTACACTGTAAAACTGTAAAAAAAAAAAAAAATTTACAAGAATAGCATGCAGTATATCACTGAAATAGGTATCATGAGACGTGACACCTGTCTCTGTGACGGCTTTAAGCTCTGTGAACAGCAAAGACGAATTTGATCGCTATTGTTTAGCCAATCGGAGAACTTTGAGGCGCTCACCGCCTGTCAGTCACTTTGAGCGTTCGGGTAAGCTGACAGGTTTGCAGACATGTTTTAGGAGCAAGGTATTTTGGAGAGAGGGAGTGATCTAATTCAGATTCTGAGTCTGGCTGGAAGTTAGTGAAACAGAACATCACTTACAGCAACTTTAACATAAAAAATGTGATTTATGGCCTAAGAAATAAATGATCTATTCGGACAAATAAAACAACAGGTCAGCAAAACAATATGTAATAGCCTATGTCAAATAAAACAAAGATAAAGAATAATTCCCTCAATGACTCACAAACATGTTGTTCTAAACCCATATGAATTTATTTCTTCCATTGAATACAAAAGAAGGATTTTAAACTTCAAAGGGATGCCAAATACCATAAAAGTATCAAACTCATAAATATGGACTCATAGTGCAAGACGTCTGAAGTTGATAGGTTTATGTGAGGAACAGATAAGTCGTTTTTCAATGGATCTACCCAAGCTTTCCTTGGATTTGAGTGTTTATGAGCAAAGCAGTGATTCATTTGTGAATGAATCATTCTTTTGAGTGGAATCTCCTGAGTGAACTGGTTGCTCCACTTCCCAAATGTGGGTTGCGTCGGAAAATAGGCAGCTGACTTGTTGACTCGCTGCCTTATCAGGCAATGACTTTAGGCACACGAAGATACCTCATGACGGTTTAATAATCTACAACAAAATAGAGCAAGCTTTGGTAATAACTAAGCAAATATTGAATTACTACAATAAAGGTATCTCAGGAGACTGGAAAAGAAGCTAACATTGGATTTGGACGTGCCTTGATGCCTTCCTACCTTGAAATGCACCCTCAGAAGGCAGCATTTTTAAGTTTTCGGACGCAGCCGTTGACAGAATGAGTCGGTGACAAATCAGACTGATTTAGGCCTTGTCCACACGGACACGGGTTTTTTATAACCGGAGTTTTTCCTACAGCGTTTTAAAAAAAAATCCCGTCCACACATGCTCGGTCTCCGTCTACATGAAAACGAATCGGTTACCTAACGTAACCTCGGTTCTCTCTAGAAGAGGGAACGAGTATTGCGTAAGCTAGCTTACGCTGCGGGAAAGATTCATCTTTGCTGAGATATTGAAGCCAAAAAATTATTTCATAATTTTGTATCCATACACAACGCAGTTCCTCTGCGGCAGACCTAGAGCGGGCTAGCTAGCAGCTCATTGGTTCGCTCAGAGAGAACTGCTTAAGCCTATGGGAGAGCGGGGCTGAACCCGCTTCCAATGAGAGGCGCCCGCGCGCTCATTGCGTCATGACCCGCCAGAATGGGCGTGGCCATGGTGTATATAAGGCGCTCTCCCAGGCTTATATGTTGATTTATTTCAGCGTGAAGCGAAACGCTAGTAGCGCAAGCACGGCCGGGAACGCAATACTCGTTCCCTCTTCTAGAGAGAACCGAGGTTACGTTAGGTAACCGATTCGTTCTCTTACGAGAGGTTCTCTCGTATTGCGTAAGCTAGCTTACGCTGCGGGAACACCTGGCCAACGCCGTGCGCGCTACGAATCCACTCATGAAAAACCCAGGGATATACCGGGGGAATTTCTTAACGTGGAGTGAATGTACAAAGAGGCCGCAGAGCGGGCTCATGAAGTGTACACATAAGCATGTATGGGGCCAGCAGAGCGGGCACATGAAGTGTATAAGCATTACAGGAGAGCACAAGGGGCGAACCGGTTGTGAGGGACCTCCAGAAATGCAGCTTCTTAGAGAGCTGTTCGTCAGACAGCTAGTAATTTTGCCTGCAAGGCGGGAACTTCCAAGTTATAAAACCTGACAAAAGTGGACGGGGAGGCCCATCCCGCGGCCACACAAATGTCATGAATGGAAATTCCACAGGACCATGCCCACGATGAGGCCATGCCTCTAGTGGAGTGCGCCCTGATGCCCAGAGGGCAGGGCAGGCATTTAGATGCGTAAGCAGAGGCGATAGCGTCCACTATCCATCTAGACAGTGTCTGTTTTGAGGCGGCCAGACCCTTGGTGCGCCCCCCAAACGACACGAAAAGCTGCTCAGCGCGTCTGAACGCGGCAGCGCGCGAAGTGTACAATCTCAGAGCCCGCACCGGACAAAGGAGATTGGCATCGCGCTCACTATCGGATGAAGGCAGAGCCGATAGGGAGATAATCTGAGCCCTGAACGGGGTACCAATCGCCTTCGGGACATAGGCATGCCTAGGTTTGAGAATGACAATCGAATCATTCGGTCCAAACTCAAGACACGCGGCGCTGGATGAGAGCGCGTGAAGATCCCCAACGCGTTTAACTGAGGACAGAGCCGTCAGGAAAACGGTTTTGAGCGAGAGGTATTTCAGATCCACAGACTCGAGCGGTTCGAACGGGGGTGCTTTCATAGCTTCAAGGACTATAGAAAGATCCCAAACCGGAACCGACGGGGGCCGCGGAGGGTTCATCCTCTTAGCTCCCCTGAGGAAGCGGATGACTAACTCGTCTTTGCCCAATGACTGAGCGCGTCGGGGTTCCGCGAACGCCGCGACGGCTGCCACATAAACCTTGAGAGTGGAGGGGGACCTGCCCTTGTCCAGCATCTCTTGAAGGAAAACAAGCAAAGACGGCACCTCGCACGACCGTGGGTCCAGCTGTTTGTCGGTGCACCATTTTGAGAACACAGACCATTTAGACGCATAGAGCCTTCTCGTGGAAGGTGCTCTAGCCTGTATGACAGTGTTTCTTACTCCCTCTGGCAAATCAACGAATAGTCGTTGATCACCCATGCATGCAGCGCCCAGCGCTGTGGATGGGGGTGCCAGATCGTGCCGCGAGCTTGAGAGAGGAGATCTGCTCTGACTGGGATGGGCCACGGGGCTGTCTGTGACAGCTGCGTGAGCTCCGGAACCCAATTCTGACTCTCCCAACGCGGGGCTATGAGGAGCACCGAGTGGCGTGTGTCCCTGATCCTCTGAATTACCTGTGGTAACAGAGCGATCGGAGGGAATGTATAGAGCGGGCGGCGAGGCCATTCCTGGGCTAGCGCGTCCTCGCTCTTCGAGAAATATATTGGGCACTGAGCGTTCTCTTCTGACGCGAAGAGGTCTACTTCTGCTCTGCCGAATAGTCGCCACAGTAACTGGACCGTCTGTGAGTTCAGGGACCATTCTCCTGTGGAGATGAGGTTCCTGGACAGTATGTCTGGACCGTCGTTCAGATGGCCCGGCACGTGCGTCGCTCTGAGCGAGAGCAGGCGGCTCTGAGACCAAACTAGAATGCGGTGCGTCAGTCGACAGAGATTTCTGGATCTGACACCGCCCTGACGGTTGAGATAGGAGACCACGGCCATATTGTCCGAACGGATCAGGACGTGGTGTCCCTGGATGCGCGGGAGAAAGTGCGAGAGCGCGTTCTCGACCGCCAGCATTTCCAGACAGTTTATATGTAATGGGCTTTCCTGAATCGACCAGTGGCCGAAGGCCGGTGAGCCCTCGCAGACTGCACCCCAACCCGTGTTGGATGCATCTGTCGAGATGACTTTTCGGCAGGAAAAGGTCAGCGGAGTACAGCGGAGGTACAGCGGAGGCTGAGGCCATGTAACCCAGCATCCTCTGAAAAGTTTTCAGAGGCCTGCGGGTGCCCATCTGGAACGAGGCGGCTAGACGCTGAACACTGCGCGCGCGCTGTGTAGACAGGCGAGCCGTCATCGTGACCGAGTCCAAATCTATTCCTAGGAAGGAAATCGATTGACTGGGATGAAGGGAGCTCTTTGTCCAGTTGACAGAGAGGCCCAGCGTTTCCAAATGGTCGAGGAGAACTGCGCGGTGCGACAGAAGCTCCGTCTGTGATTGGGCCAAAATCAGCCAGTCGTCCAGATAATTCAGAATGCGCAGCCCCTGGCTTCGCAGGGGGGCGAGCGCCGTATCCATGCACTTCGTGAATGTACGGGGCGCCAGAGATAAGCCGAACGGGAGAACGGCGTATTGATAAACAAGACCCTCGAAGGCGAAACGTAAGAATGGCCTGTGACGGGGATTTATCTGGATCTGAAAATAGGCGTCTTTCAGGTCTAGAGATATGAACCAGTCCCCTTGGCGCACCTGCGCGAGGA